ACTAGAATTCCCAGAACTTTTTGCAAACTCAGTGTTTTGATTCACACACTCCTTCTCAGCTCTAAGGCCGAAACACTCCCTTTGGATTCTAATTAACTGAATGCAGCTGCTGCTGGCTTGACTTGTTCCCACAAGTTTTATATGCAATTATTGTTGCAGCAACCAAGGTGCTGTGGGTCTTGCGAGGCTGTGCTCCCAAAGCGTCCCTATTGCTCCCCTCTACTTTTCTGTGAATTTGACCACTTCTCATATAACTCCATCTCAACCACCTGCAAAACCCAGCCATCCCTCCATAAATTATAGCCACTTTAGAGTACTGCCAAAATGTGACCTCTGCAGCAGCACTGAGATCCTCAGAAGCCCAAAGCAACACCAGCATGATAGAGTACAGTACAAGGTATTTGAAAACTCACAATCTTCAGTTACACTCAGCTCTGTCATTTGACTACCAAGAAACCATGAAGTCCAAGAAGATTTGTTGACTTTACAAAAGCAGGTTGATCTAGAAAACTGCAAGATCTTGCAAAATAAATTTGAAGTGAAAGGCCTGAATTTCAATGCTTTGTATATAAACTTGGAAGAGACAACCTCTTCGAGATAACAAGGAAGAGCATTGGAAGTTTACCATCTTTCCATAGTTTGAAGTATTAGCATTACCATAAATATGCTAAGTTATATTCTCCATAAACTGTCTCACAAATTATGCCACAGATTCTTGCCCTTCACAGCTACAATCATGGAAATATCGAGAGACCAATTCAGACTTTAACAAAGTCAAATTAGTTTATGCTGTCAGGGGGACAAAGATGTGGCAGTTGTATAGTGCCATAATTGCTTAGAGGAAATGTAGAACTGTGGATGTAAAGGAACTAACCTGCGCTGCAAGTACACAGGTGCAGTGACAGCTCCACTTGTTCTCTTGCAAGTGATGTTATTCCATTTCTTATGAAATGGCAAAAAGTTCAGTGGCCGAGGAGTGGGAGTCAGTCTGTCCAGCAGAAATGCAGAGTATTCTGCTACACCGTGGTCCTCTGCTGAGAAGTGGGAGATATTTTTTGGCAGGAGCAGACATGGACATTGCCATCTCGCAGCTTAAAATTGTCCAGTTGCTTTTAAGGCACAATTAATCAGCCTCTTTCCCCTTTTTTCCTCCTAGACAGCACTCATTGCCATTAATAATAATCAGCTAATATGAAACATGATTGATTCCCATTTGGAGGAACCCAGAAGAGTTTCTCTCACCAAATGTGGGAAATTAGTCTGTGTGTGTAAAATCCTCTCTGTAGGAAATGACTGACAGCCTAAAGGAATACATCTGCAAAACATAAACATGGCAGTGCCTTTGATGAGAGTACTTTAAATAACTGTTATTAATGTCCTTTCCAAGATGTCATTTAGAAAACCACAATCAATTACTATAGTGATAGCAATCCTATATATAGCAATTGTACATGAGTGATAGAAATGCTGGAAACCAGCTATTCTTGACTAGAGATAGTAAAATTCTCCTTGTTAACACGTGGTATGACCACAAACACACCTCCATTTTTAAAGATTAATGATAAGTAGCATTTCAATCCTGCCCTGTATTAATAAGCAAGGTCACTCGTTGGCATCTCCTAGTAAATCACTTCCCATTTTAAAGCCCCATCTCTCTTCTGGGCCAAAATACTCCATATGGGTGCCATCTACTGAAAAGTAGAGAGAGATGACAGTTGGACAAGCAAGGACAATGAGGGAGAGGCTGGGACACAGGCACTGTGGGAAACTCAACAGGAGCCCTGGCCGAGCCCCTGGAGGTAGTGGCTGAGATGGCAGCAGCAGGTCAGGGGAGCTTGAGGCTGCTCCATCACAGGAGGTGGGGCTGGGAGGTGAACAGCGGGGGCTATGGAACCCTGTGCATTCCGGAAGGCAGGAATTGGAATTAGATCATAAAGAAGTAAGGATGGCCTGGAAAGAGAAGGATCCAGGATGGAACAGCAGGAGAAAGGAGCCACAAAGCCTACAGTCAACTCGTTATAACTGACTAGTTATAATGCCAGTGTGTATCCTCATGGAGTGGATAAGGGATGACAAGAGGCACATGCTTAAGCTGTAGAAGAAACCTTCATTCCTTAAAAACTGAAATGACTTTTCAGCATTTAAATATACTTTCTTAATAATATTTACTTAATACCATTCTCATATGTAGTATTTATATTGTTTGAATTGCTAAGGGCTCATTTCCTATAAGGAGCTTGGGAGTTAAATCTGAATTAATTCCCCAGAGATGGGTTTTGACCATAAACCGATGGCCTTGCCTGGACTGAGGTACCTGTAGGCTGATGTTCTGCAAAGGTGATGTTTTGTTTATATTTTTCACTGTCTTCAATTATTGCAGTGCTTTTCCAAGGAAAAGAATGTTGGCCCCATTGAGCAGTGAGCAGATTTAAGCAACCAAACTCACCCATTTTATCAGCAGTATCCTTTTTCCTAAAGGAAACCTGGTGCCTGGTCTGATTAAGTTTGTTTAAAGACAGATTAATTAAGGAAAGAATTAATTTATTTTTCAGAGTATCCTTGTGGTACAGAGAACAGGTAGAGTTCAGAAAGAATTTCCTTAGGGATACATCAGTGGGAAAGGCCATCCTGGGGGAGAACCACAGCAATTCAGCTCCTACTGGTTTAAAGATGCATATAGGCAGTGCTCAGCAGAGAAAATGGTGGGGAAGACAAAGCGTGGGGAGATGTGCCAGGACCATGAAACTTCAGAGCCCCCAGAGAAGTGAAGGACAAGAAAATGACATGCTGCCTACATCAAGAAGCATGATGAGCTCTCCTGCATGTGGACTAGCTCAGTAAGTGGTTGTGGAGGAGATGTGAATTCCACGGTGTCTTCAGGTGTCTTTGGACAAGTGTGCTTGTGGGCCAGGGTACACTTGCTAAGTGATAATGCTGAGGAAAGCTTATTTATTACAGTTCTTCTGGTCTGTGCTCTAGGAGTTCAGGGAGGTAGAGAAAACCCTTACTCTCTGTCACAGCATCAGACACAGTAAGGGGGCAAACTAAGGAACTCAGGATCTGGCTTGACAGAGAAGACTCGCATGAATGATTTGTGAAAAGGTTTGAGCTGAAGTCTTGACTTTAGGCCTAAACAGTCAGATTTCTGTTTCCAGTCCTGAAGACTGATGGATGGATTTCCATTTGACTTCTCCAGTCATTTTTTAGTAAGAAGGCATGATACTTTCTCCAAGGCTATTCATATTTTAAAGCAGTTTAAAGCAGTTTTTTAAGAGTGGAGTCTGCTTTGGGGGGAAGGTAGTTCTGCTGTTCCTTGGGCAGAAAATAAAACTCACATTTTGCTAACCCAGAATCTATGACAATACAGATCTGCTTTCCTTGAGCCTATCCACAAATAGCAGGTTTTTTTCTAAAGTTTCTATTTTTGATTGTTCCTCATTCAGCTCAATCTGAAGATGGCACTCCAATTTCTGAATAACAGCACATGTACACAGAGCTAAGCAGTTGACTAGCTTTAAAATTCATAATTTCTCATTCAGTTTCTTAATTCCTTATTAGCTTGCACATACAAACTCTCTCTTAGAGCCTAATCCAGATCCCGCTGGTGCCAGTGAGAATGGATTTTACCTTTCAAATTTAGCCATCTAAAGATCAGGCGTGTATTCTAAATGAATCTGTGGAGGAGCCACTTGTAGTCAAAACAGAGAAAATCAGCATTTCCAGGACATGGTTCATAACATCTGCCTTAAAGACTTGTCTTGAGAGGGGACAAGTGTATTTCTGCTATCTTATTCCCCTGCCTGTTGAGGGAGCCCGTACCACCAGCGTAGAAGCCACCTTACTCTTTGATAAATGAACCCAGGGGAAAGAATCTTTCTGTTTATATGAATGGAAAAAGATTCAGACTTTCAGTCCTTTCTGCCAAGGTAAATTACAAATGAGTAAGCGAAGTCCCAGAGCGTATCCCAAGTTGCATCTCATGGACTGCTAACTCTGGCTTCAGGCAGCATTTGGGATGTACCAAAAAGACATATGAACTCCTGAAACAACATTAAACTTTTTTTTTTTTTTTTTAATTATAACTCATACCTTGCATCACACTGGACTCCTTGACAGGGAGCACAATTAGATAGAAATCTCAAAGCAATGGCAAAATCTTTTTGTCTGTCTTCTTTAAAGATGCTCACAGTGGGCTATGTGAAATGTCAGGAATAATTAGACAAAACTATATAAGCTCCTAGCAACACTGAAGTGATGTGTAAAACTAAGCATTCGCCATAAAGTTTTAAACTTTGTTTGAAACCTGCATGATAAAGGTAACCTGAGAAGTTTTTAAGCACAATTTCAAATATATTAATACAGACATGGATATGAAAAAGCAGAATGGAAAACTATGAAATGCTGGCATGCCTCTGCTGCTCTTTTTCAAAGGTGATATATAAAAGTAATTGATGATTCTCATACAGCAATTGAAATGAAAAGGCAAGTTTCCTCAGCTCTTCATCTGCTGGAATGTATTTTAACAAGCAGGAAAAGGACTAGCTCCTGGTATCCATAATTCACAAAGATCACAGACATGTTTGTGAGAGGGGACCTCTGGAGGTCCCTTAGTCCAACCTCCCACTTTAAGTAAAATCTCAAAAACCAAAGAAGGAATAACCATTTCACATCAGCAGGAAATATGGCCCAAAGGGCCCTTTGGAGAAGGAAAAAAGTGAACCATGAATGCAGAGAAAAGGGGGGAGAAAAGGCAAGAGAAGAGAAAAGAAGGAAAAACAGACCAACATTTTATTTGAGGTAGTAATATTAGAAGTGTAGAACTCTGTACCAAAAGGTGGGATTATCCTTGATTGACTAATAGATGTGATTTTTATCTTCTAGGAAAACAATGAACAGGAGGAAACCTGGAAGCTTTTTGCTGCTCTGTTGAATATGGGATTATAAAAAAAATTGCACCTGGAACATCTCTCTAAATGGATGACTTCTGAACCTGCAACCCTTCGTTACCTGAAGCAGCACCTTCTTGCATCCTGGAGGAGAAAATGAATTTCACAAATTGCACCACTGAAGCCAGTGTGGCTGCAAAGCCAAAAACAGTAACTGAAAAGATGCTTGTTACCCTGACCTTGGCCACAATCACAACCTTGACTATGCTGCTGAATTCTGCTGTAATTGCAGCAATCTCCACAACTAAGAAGCTCCACCAGCCAGCAAATTATCTCATATGTTCACTAGCTGTGACAGATCTCCTTGTTGCTGTTCTCGTCATGCCCTTGAGCATCACTTACATAATGATAGATAAATGGACTTTGGGATACTTCATCTGTGAGATCTGGCTTAGCGTCGACATGACCTGTTGCACGTGTTCAATCCTTCATCTGTGTGTCATCGCCCTGGACAGGTACTGGGCAATCACAGACGCTATCGAATACGCCAGGAAAAGAACGGCAAAGAGGGCTGGGCTGATGATAGTCACCGTGTGGACTATCTCCATTTTCATATCAATGCCCCCTTTGTTCTGGAGAAATCACCACAGCATCAGTATTCCCAGCGAGTGTCGCATTCAGCACGATCACGTAATCTACACTATTTATTCCACGTTTGGGGCGTTTTACATTCCCTTGACTTTGATCCTGATCCTGTACTACAGAATTTACCACGCTGCAAAGAGCCTTTACCAAAAGCGGGGTTCAAGCCGCCACCTCAGCAACAGGAGCACAGACAGCCAAAACTCTTTTGCCAGCTGCAAGCTCACGCAGACATTCTGCGTCTCGGACTTCTCCACGTCTGACCCGACCACAGAGTTTGACAAAATCAATGCGTCCGTGAGGATCCCGCCTTTCGAGAATGACTTGGACCTGGCTGGCGACCGGCAGCAGATCTCCACGACGAGGGAACGAAAGGCTGCTCGCATTTTGGGGCTGATTTTAGGTGCTTTCATTTTGTCCTGGTTGCCCTTTTTCATCAAGGAACTTCTTGTGGGCCTCCACATTTGCACTGTCTCTCCAGAAGTAGCGGACTTCTTGACCTGGCTTGGATATGTTAACTCCCTCATCAACCCTTTGCTGTACACGAGCTTTAACGAGGATTTCAAGCTGGCCTTTAGAAAGCTTATCAGGTGTCGGGAACATACATAAAAATACTGGGAGATGATGATGCTGACGTGACTCCTAGCCTTAAAATTGAGCAAAATAATTTGACTTTGTCACCATTTCCCTTGATAAAGGGGATTTTTGTGTTTGCCTATTTGCTTGACTTATCTTCAGCCTGTAATTCATTATGCTGGTTTTTTTAATCTCTAGTGTTACTCATGGTAAAGGGTTTGAAATAAAATTATTCTACAAAGGAAAAGATTTTTTAGAAATGAAACAACAAAAAAGACATTATTACTATTAGATACTGATGTTTAAGACATTTTGTGTAATCAATGATTAAAGGAGCAAACAACAATATTCACTTTTATACTTCTTCCATTTAAGAATCAAACATCTAAATTGTCATGCACTGTATAAACTGAACCCCATAAATATATATTCGAAAATTAATAAACATTTTGTGGCCCTGACAGCTAAACAACAAATCTTTACTTTAAATGGCATCCTGTAACTGCCGCTTTGAAGGAAAATTACCACCATTTCCAGCTTGGCTGAAGCAGAATAAACTATTCCTTTCTTCAGGAACACACTCCCAAAACAGAAAGCCAAGTTCAGTTCATTGCATCTGAAAATTAATCTCATTTTTTATTCCAAAGCAATTATTTAGATGACTCTTTTCCTGTAATATTCCATATTTATCTTTAAAGAGTTGGGCAGACACCTGTGCAGTTTGTTTGGGAATTGAGAGGATGCAGCTAGCAAGTGTCAAACTTGTGAAACTAACTGCACGTCTGACTGCTCACACATTTAATACCAGTAACCCTATTTCTTCAGGCCTTGTACTTTGGTCAGTTCTGGAGTGATATTATTCACTTGTGGCACACTTCACCTGGGCCGCGTAGTGAACAACCCCATGCATTGATTGATCTTACCCCACCGACTTAAACAACTGGAAATTTTCTCAGCAGGCCAGCAACGTACAGAAATTCAGAAGCATCAGCTAAAACCAAATTGTTTTCTGTTTGAACATCAGAAAAAAAAATTAGGGGAAATAATTTATTTTTAATAGAAGTCTGCACATCTGCCTTGTTCCTCATCTTACAATTTGCAGTGGTATTCTTGCCCACTTAACTATGATCAGGTCCTCTAGCAGGACTTCTTGCTCTGGGAGTGCTTCACATACTTACTTCCCTTGTCTTGAGAGACAGACAAAGAGTCCTTTGTCCTGTCTTCTGTGCTTGTGTAAGTAAAAGTGTCCTGATTCAAATATTGTGGAAATCAGGCTGGGAAGGAGCAAAATCAAATCTGGTATTGTCCATTAGCAACTCCTAAGCACTGTTTAAATATTTGCTGCTTACTTTGCACCTTAATTTTCTTCCCTGTCCATTTTTCTGGACAAATTCTTTTTTAATTACACTGGTCTACCATATAGAAATATCACATACATTAACGTGACATGCAGTAAGGATGAACTATAGTATGGCAGTTCCAAATCCATCAAAACAAATACTAGAGGTAGCAAAAGTGTTGTAACAGCACTGGAAAACTATTTCTTAAAAATTTTTTGAAAATGTACAAGATGACAATAATTTTTCTTATCAAGGGTCAAGGAAGAGTAAGTAACACGTGAGTAATAAACTCCAGGGGAAACTGAGAAATTGCATCCTTATTGGTGAGAGAAAGCACTTGGCTGGAAAGATGCAGTGCCACAAGCTGTGTGTAAATCAAGTCTGAACGTGACAAAAGTCTGAGTTACTGCTTACCCACATGCAGTGGGATTCTTCTTTCAGAACCCCAGGTTTCCTTGCCTGAGTTTGAAGGGTTTATCTCCAGCTGTCCCTCTGAAGCTACTGTCGCAGCTGCCTCCTCAAGATGTCTTTGGGTCCCCTACTAGCTAACATTAAATCCTAAAAAGAGGCAAAAATTAATCTCAGCCACTGAAAATGCTTTTTTATTGAGGAAGCACAGAGATCCCTTATGGTTTTTCTTTTTTGCAGCTTGTTGGAGGTGGAAACTGTTGACTGAAACTGGGGAAGTGTGTTCTTATCCTGCCTATCTATAAAGGTTCCAAAGCAGCTCCCCAGAGTACATATGCTGTTCAGGAAAAAAGGTAGCTGCGAATTAAAATAAAATGTAGTATTTTTAAGAAGTGCTGCAGAATAATTTTATTTCTTCTGTCAGTGCAATGGAAATGATTATCAAAGAAAAGGATTGGGCGTAGTTTCCTGAAACAAGGTGAATATGACAGGGAAGACAGGACACACGAGCAGTTGTGGCTGGAAGAGAGTAGGTTTTGGTATCCCTTGAGTCACTTCCTGCTCTTCTACAAGGGTGCTCAGCTACAATAATGGTCAGAAAGGGAAGAGTAAATGTGCAAGGCTGCCCCAGCAGACAATCTGAGCCACCCTGAGGCACTCAGCTAAGATGAGGCAGAAGCTGTGCCCCAGCCAGCTTCCTTGGGCTGTCACTGGGGCTCAGGTTCAGCCGTGGGTTGCACAAGGGTCTTTGCTAGAAGAAAGGAAGAGGTGGGAGTGGCAACACTGGTGAAAGGTGTTTCAGAGTGGAAATCCAACAAAATGAGATAGGCTGCCAGTTCTGACTGCTGCTCCTAAGGGCATATCAGCACACAGAATAATTTAGGTTGGAAGAGATCTCTGGAGGCCAACTAGTCCAACCCCCCCTACTGAAAACAAACCTCAAAGTGGCACCAACCCCACAGCCTGACACTGCTGCTGCTCTGTGGGGTGCAGTCACGTTTCTTGTGGAAAAGTAAGGGCTCAGTTAACTCTGCTGGCAAGGCTGATGCTCATTTAAAGCCATAAGTATGGCTGAAAGGGCCAGAAACAGTGAACATGACCTCCACAGCAGCTGTCCTGGGTAGGTAGAAGTCCTTCAGCAACACATACAAAAGTTGTAAAATACAGGTGCTGTGTCATCTTCATTTCTACTGATGTCTTCCTTTTAGTATCTGAACTCCACTATTACCACTCAAACTACCAATCAGGTTGAAGGCTGCATTCAATTTTAATATTTAGAGGTAATTAACAGGAAAAAACAGATGGATGGGTAATTTCCGTGCTTCCCTGTTAAATAAAGACTCACCATTCACTGCCAGCTGACTACTGGTTTTCTAATTAAGTCATTAGCTAAACACAGAGCTGTGTTTTCCAACAAATGCCGCTAGACTAATGAAGATATATGTTTTGCCCATGCTCAGAAACTAAATAAAGAACAATATAAAGGATTGGTTACTTAAAACAGTTTAACTTGATCAAAAATCACCTACCTTCTCATGAGAATAAAAACTTTTGCTAGTCTGGCACCATTGTTTGACAACATTTTTTTCCTATATTAAGTGTTTACTGCTTTTACAAAAGGTTTGGAGACATTTCTTGACTTGTCCATGGCAAGTCCCCATTCACACTGATCCATCCTGGATCAGGTCCACCACACTATGTTCTGCCATACAAGCTATTCCCAGCAAGCTCTTAGTGATGTGTCCAAAGTCTTCAGGCTACATCCATTTTCCTTAGCCTCTCTAAACCATCTTGCATCCTGAAGCCTTATTTTCTCTAATGGCCCCCTTGCAAAATTGTGTTTTGTTACAGGTCTGACTCCCTATCCTGCCTTTGGGTTTCTGACTCTGTCTAATCTCTAAATTTGTTGTGATCCCATTAGAGCAAGCCCCTGTTTTCTCCTCCTATCTCAGCACTGTTATCAGAATTCCCATGATTGTGGCTGTTCAAGTATGTCAGATTTTACTCTGTCTTCTATGTGTCCAGGCCATATCCAGAAGCTTTTTGGTCTGTGGAAGCAGCTGGTGCTTTGGAGTGAGTTCATACTAGCCTTGAAGACTGTATCCATCAACCAGTTTCCCTCCCCAAAAGACATACTCTTCAAATGCTATTTTACCTGCTATTTTTATCTTGTCGCCTTCCTTCTGTACCCTATCTTTTTGTTCCCTTTCTTCCGTATTAAAACTGACCCTCATATTACTATTTCATGGCTCTGTATCTTCACTTTTAGGCACCTGTACCTGCATGGGTAACTGTGGTTGCACTCATCTCCTGCACTTTTGCCAGTGCCAACCTCAACTCTCTTCTCTGAAAGCTTTGTCTTGACCACCTCCATACACTTGCCACATCTCTCCTATTCCTTGCAGCTGGTTTTTTTTTTCCTTCTCAAAACCACTTCTGATATGACTCCTGAAAGGAAAACAGTCAACATGGGCAGTGGAGGAATAACTATGCATGTATTGTCTGTGCTTTTTTTCTCCATCTTTCCCACATAGATCACGTCATCTCCCAAGGTGATGTGATCTACCTCTCCCCCTCAGGCACACCACATCCCAAACACAGCAAAAACATGTTAAGAGCTGTGTATATCCTGAGCCACTTATATTTGGTTCATGTACATCCCTTTAGAGCTGTGGGTTCCTCACCACAGTGATATACCTTGCTGTTCACAGCACATGAGATCAATTTCTTTGATCTCCCTGAACGGAGATAGATGATGGGATCAAACTCTCTAAAAGGTTTAAAACAAAGCCCATGTCTCACCAAATTTACTTAAAAGGTTGTCACTATTCAGACTGCACTGCCATGTACCTGAGCTGTCCAGTTTTCCATAGTTACCACTTCTTACTTCTCTGTCCTTTGGAGGTACAAGGAAGGAATAACAACAACAACAAAAAATTGACTTTATTCAGGAGAATATGCTAAAAGAATAAAGGAATCTTTTCTAAGGGCTCTATTTCCACTTCTCTATTTTCAATCCCAGTTATCAAAGGGTAAAGAGCGCTGCAGTGCTGAGGTGAAATACAGGCTTGCAGCTCAAGTGGAGAGATGGTCCTTGTGCCTGTGTATTGTTTAACCATTGCAAATATCAATAACAGACAAGCTGTGTCTGTTCATCCTTTACACACACAAATGATTTCTGTGAAGAATTATCTTAAATTCCTTTATTGTTTAAGGAAACATGGTAAATATTGTGATATCTTGAATTGGTCAAGTAGTATTTCATAAGAGTCACCCTTTATAATTGCTACCTGTTTTTCTCTTGAGGCTGAAAATAATAAATTTTTTTAAAATTATCTGACTCTAGATAAATGCCAGGTTCATGAACTGTAAAATTATTCTTTAACATTCTCTACTTTATGTACATCATACTGTAAGCATTGTTTCCTTCCCCTCTTGCACTGCTAGAGGATCTTTACTTCTTCATTAGTCCCATGTAGGTGATCACATGTAGATGATGTTACATGATTAAATTAC